CAACTCAATCATAGACATAAATTTGAAGTCATACTTCTAGTAGTAGGAACTTATGTTCTCTATATGTAATCGCTTTTATACTTTTTTCAACGACAATTTGAACCGAACTTAGGCCACTTTCGTCTAACCGATAATCCTTACTTTAATGTCTAAGCACATTAAGTATTCAACACCGTATTACTAGCCTCTTAGTAAAGATTAAGTGCGCCTTATCCATTCGTCCATATGTATAACTGTATGCTGCATCATTCCTTTTCCATGAAACTTATTCGATTACTGCAGTTACCACTTTACTCCCTGTACTGTATGTCAGAACATATAGTTTAGAGTTAGTCTCTCAAGGATACATTCTTGTTCGTCACATCTAGGTAAGTTTCACTCTCCTATAATCAACAATCAGATGTGGTGGTATTTTTATCATGCATTAGTAAGATTTTGTAAGAAACGAGGTCGAGCGCATCTCCCTCAAACCAAACGAATCATTCTAGGCTTCCTGTCCAAAAAGGAGTGCAACTCTGCGTAGCTCATCTCCGCAGTCATTATTCTCTTCCTTTGGTTATTCTACCAATGCATACTCAGCGATAACTCGATGCATCAGTTTATGACGCAAAAGACAACGTACACTGAATTTACATTTTATGAATATCACCCATCAATGCAGTTGTCATTTTACAACTGGATTATTCGTGTCCCATATAAGCTCCATGCAAGTGAATTCGAATATATTAGTCGCTGAAAGACGCTATTTACCCTGCTATGGCTTATTAGAACGTCTTCATATTTCACGGTTCTTTATTCCCATATCCAGTCGGCACCATAGAACGATTCCTGTTATAATCTGCCTTACTTAGTTTCACGATTTACTCAGCTGTCATACCCATAGACTATTTACTACTCTTTTTTCATAATATTTCGGATCTCTCATACAAACATGTTAATTTAAAATTCAGATAGTCACGACATAAATGAACGTTAATTTTTTCTCGCTTACTAATTTACTAATAATCACATGCTGACATTTACATTAACCAACATAATGTCGGTTAGGTCCGATTTTCCTATGCTCTATCTGGTTATCAAATGTCTACGAATTCGTCTCTTTAGTCACTCCAAAGTAAAAAACAAGAATCTTTTTTAAATAAATAGATTAAGTCAGTCAGGACTGAAGAATTGCTCTACCGTTTGTATAAAATGGACAGACGCGAAAAAAGTACAATCGCACATGATGGATATTCGGTTCTACATAAATGTTTGATCTCACAGAACGCACTGATGGTTTGGAAAGAAATATTAATATCGTAGACCTCTGAGTCTTAAACATGCATTAAAAAAAGAAACGTAACTTGAGAAATAATATCGATATGAACCTGCCAGAAGTTGAAATCGCCACCCAACTCAATGAAATACATTGCCTCTAGTCTGCGATAATCGTCTTTGATAACTTGGTTCGTAACCGCAGATTTTCAAAGTGTCCGCCGACCAGGAATAACCAAAACATAAAATAAAAAACAACGAACATACCCAAAGTCGACCCCTGGGACAGAATCGGCTTTTTGGGGTCAGCAGTGTAGTCGGAGTCTAATTGACTAGCCGTTTGATTAGCTTGACGGTCGAATACAAATTTAATCAGGAGGCCATATTTCCTAAATTCACTGAACACCGAGTTTTTGACCTTACAAATTTGCATATCCTGCTGGTCATACGCACCGGAAGTAATCGATCGATGTAGGAAAATATTACAATTAGACCTGCTCTAGGCGGTATAGTCGATTGCCTAGTAAGTAACCCAGCAGTCAGGAGGACGAAGGTTTGAGTACGTACGTAGGCAGTACTTTGTACACAAAATTCACATGGGGATACAATTAAACGGATGTACAGGCCGGATTAGCACGCTGATGAATTTAAACATAAGCTTGGCCAAAAGAAACTTTTTATTCTGAGACGACTTATGGAACCGCAGTTAGGAATATGACGAGCTACTAGATTAAACACGCGGTATTCAAACCAGTTCCTGGGTTGCGTGTTGTGCCATTGATCTTGTAACGTTTTTGATTTAGTGAAAATCCAGGAGTCTAGAAAAAATACTTGGCTTTCAACGTATAAACAATCTGAAATGAGATTAGGACTGCAGGAAATTTAAAGCTTAAAATCATCGCGATTTTCTGGAATGTTGTCTTCGTTATTTGGCGACGGGACTCGAAAATTGAAAATTAGGCAGACAATGGTCGTAAGAAATATATTACGGGATAGTCCATAGTTTGAAATATGTTGAAATGCTTAGTGGAGAAACGAGATGGAGAATTTGTCTCAGATAACCATTCATCCTTTAGTCACATCGTTAGCCAATATCTATTTACGTCGTCGAAAGGCCACTTTTGCCAGAGCTTATTGTTTTAACAAGCTTATTTCACCGGAGCATGTAAATGACACCAAAGCTTAATAATAAACCATCGTATCAATAATTTAATGTAGATCACCTGTTATTATTATCGATTGAGCTAGTAAGTTATGAGTAATAATCAACGTTACAATACGATAATGCAAGGGAGCATTTATCAGAGTACTAATAGAATAATAGGTTAACAGAAGTAAAAATCGATCGAGAAAGGTAAAGTGAAAATAAGGATTATTAATAAGCTCACCAATGCAGAATTATGGTCTACTTCGTTATTAGTACTGCTCTAATAACAAACCGAATCCTAAAATTGTAGATTTGTTACCTAGGGGTGGCATATGATGGAGGTTCGCAACATCATCCTCATAGTGAGTCAGTATAAGATCTAATAAGGATGATTCAGTGTCCGGATCGTACCTTATCGCTTCTTTCACATGTTGCACTAGGGCACATGTGATAACCCCATCAACTAGTTCCTGCTCGAAAGAATTCTCCGACGATTTAGTTCGCAGATTTTTCCAGTCCACCATAGGTGCATTGAAGTCCCCTAGGATTAGACATCGACCACTTTGGGACCAAGTATTGAGACTGCTTAACAGGATCTCATTTGCCTCACAGCTTGGACTGCGATAGACCAAACCAATCAGCAGCTCTTGTGCCTTGCATTTCAAGGGGTAACTAACTAATTCACACGTCCCACTCTCATGGGATACATTATCGATAATGGCAAATGGGATAGCATTCTTAATGAATAGAGCTACTCCCCCTCCTTTGCGCTTTTGTGTTCTGTCCGCCCTTACTAACGTAAAACCCTCGAAATCAAGTTCCATACTATCTATAGCCTGTGTCCGCCAGGTTTCTGTTACTGCGATTATGTCTGGCTTTGTAGAGTCAATCTGTACACCTAGTTCCGATCGCTCATTAAGTTAACTTCGTGCATTGGTGTAACAGATCCGAAGCCTGTTTAAGTGCCTTCGTGCTTCACCCAGAGTGGCTTCGGCATCATTCCCTGTCGAAGCCTCACAACCCGAAAATTTACAATTTTCAGGTCCTTTTCGCCAGCGTCTAACCTAAGTTGTAGTTCTTTCTTGGCTTCCCGTCTTTTAACACGGTCTGCCGACGGTAGGTCCTTTCGGATAAAGACTTCTGAACCCTTGAATTTGTGTCCATTCTGTAAAATTAGGTTACGTTCGTTCGAAGAGCTGAATACTACTTTAAGCAGTCTGGAATGATTTGGTTTCGAGTCCGCTAGTCTCTCTAGTCTGTACATCTTTAGCAAGGTGACCCCGGTCATATTTTGAGGCATGAGTTGATTAAGCAGCTGCCTAATCAGTACAATGTCATGCTCAAAACGAGCTTTAGGTTCAGAGCTCTCGCTTTCCTTGATCCTATGAAAAATAGCTGATCTGTCGCTATGATCAGCTTTCGATTTTTCAACTACTTTTATGGGGGCAGGGTTCCCTTTTATATCCCTTCTTTTCTTCCTTACAACATGTACCCACTCGTCAACGGTGCTGGTAGAAGCAATAGCAGTTGCGTCAAACCTAGTGTTGGATTTTGGGGGGTTTTGACGACCCAAGAGGTCGGGTTATGTTTACCTCTTAAAACCGATCGAGCCTTGCGATTGCGGCTTCTAGGTGTTTCCTGTTGTATCCCATCTGGGAGACGGGGAACAGAAGACCCTACTTTTCTTGAGCTTTTGCTTAAGACAGGCCCCTTTGAAGACTGGTTTTCCTTCTTTGACGGGCATGAATCATCTATCATCGAACTAACCTTAGTTTCCTTCACGTTGATTTGCGTGTCAACAGATCGAGTGCTGTTTGACGCGTTCCGACTATGCTTGCTAAAACACTTCTTTGCAGCATCAACCAGTGAGATGGCTTCGGTTAACAAGCTGTTTGCATCCGAGCAGCACTGTTGACAAAGCCATACACAACCCTTCTTACTGAACCGTTTGAAAGCAGCAGGCGTTATGTTCATGCAAACTTCGTGGTAACAGCCTTTGCACTCGTCGCACTGCATGCCGCTTTCAACAGGATAACGACAACCCGGACTTGGCAACTGCTTTTTTTTTACACTGTCCGGTCATTTAGAAGGGTTTTTTTCAAGATGCGATAATACTCAGAAACAAAAAAATAACCAATGATCAAAAAAGTGAAGAGCTGCAGATTGCTAGGACCAAAAGTACTCACAGATACAGTTGAAAAAGAGATACTCAAGAGTACCAACGACAAAACTAATTGAGAAAACAGTAAAAACGATACTCTAGTCGAATGCTTTAACTGAAATAAATTCAATTAAAGTGAAAACAGTAGTCTTGATGCGTAATAAACGATCAAAACAAAGAAATTTACTCAGAGATGAAAAATATCACTGTTCTTTTTAAATAGCACTGAATTTCGCATTAAAATTTTTGAAATGCAGTTTGGTTCGAAAACGATCATTTTTATTTTAACTATGATTGGCTTCAATGAGATATAAATTGTGACTAGTGAACAAAGGCGTACGATACAGTAGCTTAGATGAATGTCTGCGCTATGTTTGTCTGAAGGGCGGGAGAATTGTGATCTTTTTTGCTATACGGTCGTTTAAACTATTTGGCTAGATGAGTGTTATATGCATGCATCATTGCTCTTCGCTGCTCCAAAGAACTGTCGACTCTGTCAATTTACTTCAAGGCCTTTCGAATCGTGATGAATCTGCTAGGCATGAAGCAGCTGTTACTATACAACGTATATTTGATTCGTGGTATTTTGGCTTTGGTAGCCCCGCTGTCGCTGGTTTCTTAGAGACTGTAGCCAATGATACCGGTGGGGCTACTCTTGATACGTCTATGCACGGGTTGATTACGGAGCAGATCCCAGATCTTTTAAGAATACTGCATACCGCCCCATCATCTGATATACGGTCTGCTGCTAGAGATATCTTGCGTGATTTAAAGGTTATGTTGTCGAATTTTTCCCTAACAAGTTTTTAGATTCAGAAGGGGTTCAAAATTCCGAATACCGTTACATCGTCTCCTAGTTTTATTCAGTCACTAAACGTAATTTCAGTTCCTAATTAATAATTCGATTCTAGATGGACCACATGAAATGCATGGTTGATGAACCAAATGAAGGGGATCCTTTTTACACTGTATGTATCCATTGTTCCACCTAAAGGTTTTTATTCAACCGGATTTTGTTAACCTATTCTTGTCTTCGGTTCATGCTACGATATGCTGATTCTTTAAAACCGGTATAATTCACTGTTTGGTGTTCTGTTAAACAAGGAAATAATCATTGTGTTTTAAATTGTCGTAGAATGGTTGACGTTTGTCGAGAGCACTGTGATCTCCAATTTTTCATTGTAGGGCAAGGGGTCGCTCTTCCTTTTCATTATGTGCCAAAATTTCTACTCAAACGCAGAAAAGTGACTTTTCTCTTACAATTTTCAAGTGACATTATTTGCTATATCAAACTCGAACTTTTCAGACCGTTTAGGCGATTGTTGACACATAGTTATTCTATTCTAAAATTGCGTGATAGACGTATATAAATCTTGTGAGCTTCAAAATTCAGTGAACTATTCAACTGGACGCGTTTGCCGACTGCTTTAATATATATTTATCAATATCTACTCCTTTTAATTACAAATAATCATCAACCTCTCCTGTCTGAAAGTTTACTTCACGGATTAAATCTCCACTATCAAGAAGTTAATGATGTACATATATCATACCAGTTAGTCAGTCAGCTACAACGTAGGACCAGGCACATATGTGTATCGGTCCAAGTTGCCATACCGCATTAACACAGTAAGATGAACATCGGATTAATAGGAGTGGTTAAGTCAATGATGGTAATATATAAAAGAAAGATTGCACTCAAGACCTCTGATATATCATACCGGTGTATTTAGATTAAGAAAACCTGCAATTTTAAGCTGTTCCCGTATAGTATTCAATATATTGGCTACACATTTTCTATACTCGCTTTAATTTTACACTTGCATAAATCTGTCACTGAACAACGTTGTACCTGTCTTCCTAAAAGATATTAAGTAGCTGTCATCAACCATAATATACTAAGGGTACTCTCGATTTATTTTTTGAAATAGTTGACATCAAATTTGACCAGAGGTTCTTCCTCTAACAAAATATCTTGCAGGAGCTTAAAAATCTTTCAACTTTCTATTGGGAGCTAAGTGTAACTTAGATTTCGTGACGAGCTCGCTTAGATTCATGCATCTTAGTAAATTCAAGGATGGTATGGTTTCTCACGGAAGGTTATTGGGAGTTATCAATTTAGAGGCTCATTCTGAAAAGACTTAATTTTATCAAGGGTGATTTGTAAAGCATGATATTTGATCTTTGGTTAAGTAAAGGAGATGATCACTACGTCAATATTTACTAAGATCCACTGAATACAGACCAAATTGAAATATTAAGAATTGCGTGGTTAACCTTGTGATATTTCATCTAATCCCACTAGACTTCGTTCAACATACGTCGTTTGTTGCGCAATATGAGACGGTGAAAGTAACAGGTGCACAACTTACCGTACATGTTATGTATTACTAATTCACGTTTTTGGAAACTTGGAGCAACTAAAATCTCTGCCTCGTAATAATGCTGCATACTCCTGTCTATATTTTCTTTCTTCTTATGAAATTCGGTACTTCGGCTTGTATTTTTGATGTGGGTTTTCCGTTCATTCTTAGTTCCATTACAATCAAACAATACATGCAGCTTCAAGCACATTCCAAGCCACCAAAACTGCTGCTTTCGGTTATGGAGTGTAACGTATTCTTGGCAATCTCCACTGTCAGTCTTCTTTCTCAAGCACGTTTCTAGGACTGTTAGGTTCTTCGATTGTATACAGTTTAGACCTCTGGTTTCTTAACAAATAAAGGAGGACACGTAGCTGAAGATTTGCCTTTTCTAATTAGTCAAAAGTAAAAAAAAGACTTGGGAAGCTGTACTTTGAATAATTGTTGAATCTATTTTTGTTGTGGTTTGCTTTTGTGAGAAATCATTAGTTTATTGTTCTTACATAAATCACTCCAGGTATCATAGAGAGTTACACCGTGTTTGTTTTCTTACCTTCTTTGCAGACTTATATATTGTTTCGTGAGTATTGGTTTCAATGGGGACGCCTAAATAACTACATCAATGTAATGGGGTATCATCCTGAATATCTTGAATGTTACATGAAACTAAAGGATCATCTTTTTCGTGGTGACTTGCCATTACCTTATCCAGATCGTTACTATATAGCCATTATTGTAAGTTTCATTGTTTAAGGTAATCATGACTGGTCACGTTCACTCTGTGAGATTTAAATGAGTCAAACAGAATCTATATCAAGTGGTGCTATCACAGATCATATTCAAGGTTTCTAGGGATCTTTATCTTGCAGTTTTGAGTAGCTGTTGTCTAGTATTTAATAAAAAATTTAATCAGGGTGTTTGTCAAAGTCTTATTGGTGCTATTCACTGTAATGAGTTCATCACCGACCTGTTTCTTTCAGATACTATAATACAAACCATTAACTTGCAGTTCCCTTAGCAGGTGGTTCTTAACTGTACGTGGGGGTTTGTTAACCAATCAATATTGTTTACCAGAGTACTCATTTTTGTGACCAAACATTAAAAGCTATTGACATAGTGGTGCGAACCTACGCAACAAAGGGTAGTATCAAACGGAAAATGCCTGATTCACGATCATATCACTGATGTCTCCCCTAATTGTAAGTCCTATGTTTGCAGGTCTGGATTACTATTTTCTGCGTATCAAAACAATGGTACGACACCATATGTAAAATAAAGGAATGCTGGTCAGAGACTGTTAGTTTGTTTATGTTTTTTCCGGAAATTTTTGACTTCTAAGACAATGAATATCGATAGATCTAGTGCTTCTTCAAAACTTGTATTAGGCTTCTCTTTTTGAATAGCAATTAAGGCACGTTAAAACTGCTTGTCAATAAAGTAGTTAAATACATTAACGTGTTGCTCAGTTTATCATTTTCATACTTATTTAATTTTCTCGTGTCCATCGTGGCTCTTTGAATGCACGTTTTCCCAACTCACACATCTTATTACGTAATGATTTTTAAGGTTTTGTGATTACTATTCCTAGTCTATTTACCCATGTTTATTTGACCTTCTATTTCCAACGATTAACTATTGATAAGAGTTTTGTTATTATAGTTTATTATCCTTACCACTATCTGTTCACCTGTCTTCGTACTATCAACTTGTACTTTTACCTATTTTATGTGTAGTGACTTATTCTATTTCATTGTGATGATTGACTCATATTGCCTTGATTGGTTTAAAATTTTCGTATAAATATCCATGTATATTAGAATAAAGCCTGATGACGATCTAATTGAAAACAATTGTTCGCTTATATGTGTTGTTCTAATTTTCACAATGGGAATCTTTAATATTTTACAAGATGATTAACAGTGAGATGCTCATGTGATTATCAGGAAGAACACAAGTTGTAACCAAGGGGAGTACACTCCCAACTCATGTCTATGATAATGGCTTGAACCTTAGTCAGTGTTGGGGTAAATTCGACATTGATGTTTTCAGTTTGCAGGAGATTTGCTCGACTGCTTATATTGATTATTTGCATGCATTATTGTGTCGCTAAACCATCAATTAGACTGACAAGGTTTTGAGATATTTACTGAATGAGCAACTGGTAGAGAAACATACTGTAATCATCTGTAGTGAGTGAAGATAAAAGAAAAACAACACTAGTGATAATTATAAGTCGATTTGATGACCGGTAATGTTATTAGTTTCATTAATACTATCAATCATATTACGTGATTTTCAAGTCATGACAATGCTTTATGGCGATATCCTGAAACTATTAAATTTAACTAGTTATACTGTTGATTGAAGATTAGCCAGTGGAAAAATAGGTATTTTTGCTTTAGGTGATTCAAAATTATCAGAAATTTGTAGTGTTACAGAATCCGAGACGCCTAATTATATTATAATTTTCAATTCAGAAATATTCTTTTAGTGGTAATTTTAGTAGGCTAGGGAGTCTTGATTTTAAAAGTTTGTTTAGTCAACAGCTACCTGGGGATTTAGTTATTTGACTAGTGCCGTTGATAGTACCTAAATTTGTAATCTAATTATCTAAACTATGTCTGCATTTTAGGCTGCTACTATGATAAACCAATCCATAAACCCAAATACGATTAGCAGCGACGACTATGATGGGTTTATTTATACACGTTAAAGGCGATCCAGATGATTTCTAAATTTAGAAGACATGAAGATATACTGTAACGTATGTACGGGCCAAGTTAACAAGCAGGTTGTTGACGTATATGACAATTAAAAAATAATGAACACGACCAGGCTGCTTATGAAACTTCAGGCAGGAATATGACGCGTTATAAACATTCCATAAGAAGTTACTGCATTCAGCCTAGGGACACTTACAAATATATGGCAAAAGCAACTGGAAAACATATATATGTTGAGTACAAAAAATCATTAAGTAAGATAGTTGAACTCGCCTGGATTATTTCTAAAAATTATATTATTCAGTGGACGACATATATAACGCCATTCGTGAGGAGTAGTAATGATCCAAAAGTATCCAGAATAAAACATGCAGTATGGAAATGAATTCCAGGGTGCTTGATGGTGTTGACGTTTCTGCCACTCGCTCGGATTAGAACAATCCAATGAATTCAGTTAATTGTGTGGTTGTTATTGAACGAGCCATCTAAAATGACCTTATGATTGCAGAAAACCTATAGATGAAACTCACCGTATGTTTTTGGAGTAGTCATCCTCGTTGTTTGGCAATGGAACTCGAAAATATGAAATTAGGCAGGCAGTGGTCGGAAGAAAAGATATTACAGGATAGTGCATCGTTTAAAACAGGATGTGTTAAGTGAAGGAACACTGAGAATTAGATCCCGATAACTATTTAGTCCTTGATTGCATTGTTAGTCAATGTATACTTGCGCCATTTACAGGTCATATTTGCTAGAGCTTGATGTTTAAACAAGTCTATGTTGCTGAAGCATGTAAATCCTATTAAAGCTTGTTAACGAACCATCAAAGCTAATTAGTTGATATAGATGATCAACTTTTATTATCGATTGAGCTAGTAAGTTATGTGAACTAATAGACATAACATTACGATAATATATGTGACCATTAATCAAAGGACTATTAGAATAGTGGGTTTACAAAAATAAAATCCGATTGAGAAGGTTAAGGTGGAAATAAGGATTAACAATAATAGGTTGCGTTTCTTTAGTTGGGCTTACCAATGTAGAATTATAGTCTACTATGATATTAGTACTGCTCTAATAATAGACCTAATCCTAAATTTGTAGATTCGTCATGATATAACTGCCTTATCTATAAGATCTTACGTGGAAGTCACACCATCGACTACACCAACTCACTGTATCGTATCAATTACCAATACATGATGTAGAACAAGGTTAGGCTAGAGAAAGAACAATATATTTAATATGAATAGAAGATATAAGGTAACATTCGGCAAAGACCACACCTGCATGGCCGAGCCATGCCACTCGATCAACCCCAGTCCATTCAACTCATTGTTCGCGCCTTCTCCATTGTTAGGTATTTCCCCGAGTTAAATATTGAATATCTATTTTCTGAGTAGTCTCGTGTTCACAGCTTTGTGGATTGTGTGGCTATTGTCCAATGCCACTACAAATATTCCATTCGAGTTACGACGTTCGAAACTCACTGAACTATTTTTATCATTCAATAACGTAAATTTATCCCGCTCTAAGTAACTTCGTTCCATTTTTCTCATGTCACTCTTACCTTATTACTACACTCATTCACCTAGTTCAGGTCATTTTCGTGTTATCATGCCACATATGTTTCGATTTGATATCATCTATTATGTCTGTAGACGCCTTTAACTCTAATAAACATTTGGTAGGATAGGTCAGCTGTATTTTGTTCTGAATCATCTATCACATCAATGGCTTTATTATTATTGTTCATTTTTTGTGGATATATAGCCATTACATGTCGCATATTTCTGACTTTCTTACTAGCTGCTCATAAACCAAACAACCTGCAACCTTCTAAGTAGATTGGCGGTTAAGCGACACGTACATGCACACGAATCGTCAGTCTAAGCAGTAAAGCGAACCTCGTGTACGCTGATAATGATATGGTTGCAACTACCCCAACGATGGAAACGGTTAGCAACTCAATCATAGACATAAATTTGAAGTCATACTTCTAGTAGTAGGAACTTATGTTCTCTATATGTAATCGCTTTTATACTTTTTTCAACGACAATTTGAACCGAACTTAGGCCACTTTCGTCTAACCGATAATCCTTACTTTAATGTCTAAGCACATTAAGTATTCAACACCGTATTACTAGCCTCTTAGTAAAGATTAAGTGCGCCTTATCCATTCGTCCATATGTATAACTGTATGCTGCATCATTCCTTTTCCATGAAACTTATTCGATTACTGCAGTTACCACTTTACTCCCTGTACTGTATGTCAGAACATATAGTTTAGAGTTAGTCTCTCAAGGATACATTCTTGTTCGTCACATCTAGGTAAGTTTCACTCTCCTATAATCAACAATCAGATGTGGTGGTATTTTTATCATGCATTAGTAAGATTTTGTAAGAAACGAGGTCGAGCGCATCTCCCTCAAACCAAACGAATCATTCTAGGCTTCCTGTCCAAAAAGGAGTGCAACTCTGCGTAGCTCATCTCCGCAGTCATTATTCTCTTCCTTTGGTTATTCTACCAATGCATACTCAGCGATAACTCGATGCATCAGTTTATGACGCAAAAGACAACGTACACTGAATTTACATTTTATGAATATCACCCATCAATGCAGTTGTCATTTTACAACTGGATTATTCGTGTCCCATATAAGCTCCATGCAAGTGAATTCGAATATATTAGTCGCTGAAAGACGCTATTTACCCTGCTATGGCTTATTAGAACGTCTTCATATTTCACGGTTCTTTATTCCCATATCCAGTCGGCACCATAGAACGATTCCTGTTATAATCTGCCTTACTTAGTTTCACGATTTACTCAGCTGTCATACCCATAGACTATTTACTACTCTTTTTTCATAATATTTCGGATCTCTCATACAAACATGTTAATTTAAAATTCAGATAGTCACGACATAAATGAACGTTAATTTTTTCTCGCTTACTAATTTACTAATAATCACATGCTGACATTTACATTAACCAACATAATGTCGGTTAGGTCCGATTTTCCTATGCTCTATCTGGTTATCAAATGTCTACGAATTCGTCTCTTTAGTCACTCCAAAGTAAAAAACAAGAATCTTTTTTAAATAAATAGATTAAGTCAGTCAGGACTGAAGAATTGCTCTACCGTTTGTATAAAATGGACAGACGCGAAAAAAGTACAATCGCACATGATGGATATTCGGTTCTACATAAATGTTTGATCTCACAGAACGCACTGATGGTTTGGAAAGAAATATTAATATCGTAGACCTCTGAGTCTTAAACATGCATTAAAAAAAGAAACGTAACTTGAGAAATAATATCGATATGAACCTGCCAGAAGTTGAAATCGCCACCCAACTCAATGAAATACATTGCCTCTAGTCTGCGATAATCGTCTTTGATAACTTGGTTCGTAACCGCAGATTTTCAAAGTGTCCGCCGACCAGGAATAACCAAAACATAAAATAAAAAACAACGAACATACCCAAAGTCGACCCCTGGGACAGAATCGGCTTTTTGGGGTCAGCAGTGTAGTCGGAGTCTAATTGACTAGCCGTTTGATTAGCTTGACGGTCGAATACAAATTTAATCAGGAGGCCATATTTCCTAAATTCACTGAACACCGAGTTTTTGACCTTACAAATTTGCATATCCTGCTGGTCATACGCACCGGAAGTAATCGATCGATGTAGGAAAATATTACAATTAGACCTGCTCTAGGCGGTATAGTCGATTGCCTAGTAAGTAACCCAGCAGTCAGGAGGACGAAGGTTTGAGTACGTACGTAGGCAGTACTTTGTACACAAAATTCACATGGGGATACAATTAAACGGATGTACAGGCCGGATTAGCACGCTGATGAATTTAAACATAAGCTTGGCCAAAAGAAACTTTTTATTCTGAGACGACTTATGGAACCGCAGTTAGGAATATGACGAGCTACTAGATTAAACACGCGGTATTCAAACCAGTTCCTGGGTTGCGTGTTGTGCCATTGATCTTGTAACGTTTTTGATTTAGTGAAAATCCAGGAGTCTAGAAAAAATACTTGGCTTTCAACGTATAAACAATCTGAAATGAGATTAGGACTGCAGGAAATTTAAAGCTTAAAATCATCGCGATTTTCTGGAATGTTGTCTTCGTTATTTGGCGACGGGACTCGAAAATTGAAAATTAGGCAGACAATGGTCGTAAGAAATATATTACGGGATAGTCCATAGTTTGAAATATGTTGAAATGCTTAGTGGAGAAACGAGATGGAGAATTTGTCTCAGATAACCATTCATCCTTTAGTCACATCGTTAGCCAATATCTATTTACGTCGTCGAAAGGCCACTTTTGCCAGAGCTTATTGTTTTAACAAGCTTATTTCACCGGAGCATGTAAATGACACCAAAGCTTAATAATAAACCATCGTATCAATAATTTAATGTAGATCACCTGTTATTATTATCGATTGAGCTAGTAAGTTATGAGTAATAATCAACGTTACAATACGATAATGCAAGGGAGCATTTATCAGAGTACTAATAGAATAATAGGTTAACAGAAGTAAAAATCGATCGAGAAAGGTAAAGTGAAAATAAGGATTATTAATAAGCTCACCAATGCAGAATTATGGTCTACTTCGTTATTAGTACTGCTCTAATAACAAACCGAATCCTAAAATTGTAGATTTGTTACCTAGGGGTGGCATATGATGGAGGTTCGCAACATCATCCTCATAGTGAGTCAGTATAAGATCTAATAAGGATGATTCAGTGTCCGGATCGTACCTTATCGCTTCTTTCACATGTTGCACTAGGGCACATGTGATAACCCCATCAACTAGTTCCTGCTCGAAAGAATTCTCCGACGATTTAGTTCGCAGATTTTTCCAGTCCACCATAGGTGCATTGAAGTCCCCTAGGATTAGACATCGACCACTTTGGGACCAAGTATTGAGACTGCTTAACAGGATCTCATTTGCCTCACAGCTTGGACTGCGATAGACCAAACCAATCAGCAGCTCTTGTGCCTTGCATTTCAAGGGGTAACTAACTAATTCACACGTCCCACTCTCATGGGATACATTATCGATAATGGCAAATGGGATAGCATTCTTAATGAATAGAGCTACTCCCCCTCCTTTGCGCTTTTGTGTTCTGTCCGCCCTTACTAACGTAAAACCCTCGAAATCAAGTTCCATACTATCTATAGCCTGTGTCCGCCAGGTTTCTGTTACTGCGATTATGTCTGGCTTTGTAGAGTCAATCTGTACACCTAGTTCCGATCGCTCATTAAGTTAACTTCGTGCATTGGTGTAACAGATCCGAAGCCTGTTTAAGTGCCTTCGTGCTTCACCCAGAGTGGCTTCGGCATCATTCCCTGTCGAAGCCTCACAACCCGAAAATTTACAATTTTCAGGTCCTTTTCGCCAGCGTCTAACCTAAGTTGTAGTTCTTTCTTGGCTTCCCGTCTTTTAACACGGTCTGCCGACGGTAGGTCCTTTCGGATAAAGACTTCTGAACCCTTGAATTTGTGTCCATTCTGTAAAATTAGGTTACGTTCGTTCGAAGAGCTGAATACTACTTTAAGCAGTCTGGAATGATTTGGTTTCGAGTCCGCTAGTCTCTCTAGTCTGTACATCTTTAGCAAGGTGACCCCGGTCATATTTTGAGGCATGAGTTGATTAAGCAGCTGCCTAATCAGTACAATGTCATGCTCAAAACGAGCTTTAGGTTCAGAGCTCTCGCTTTCCTTGATCCTATGAAAAATAGCTGATCTGTCGCTATGATCAGCTTTCGATTTTTCAACTACTTTTACGGGGGCAGGGTTCCCTTTTATATCCCTTCTTTTCTTCCTTACAACATGTACCCACTCGTCAACGGTGCTGGTAGAAGCAATAGCAGTTGCGTCAAACCTAGTGTTGGATTTTGGGGGGTTTTGACGACCCAAGAGGTCGGGTTATGTTTACCTCTTAAAACCGATCGAGCCTTGCGATTGCGGCTTCTAGGTGTTTCCTGTTGTATCCCATCTGGGAGACGGGGAACAGAAGACCCTACTTTTCTTGAGCTTTTGCTTAAGACAGGCCCCTTTGAAGACTGGTTTTCCTTCTTTGACGGGCATGAATCATCTATCATCGAACTAACCTTAGTTTCCTTCACGTTGATTTGCGTGTCAACAGATCGAGTGCTGTTTGACGCGTTCCGACTATGCTTGCTAAAACACTTCTTTGCAGCATCAACCAGTGAGATGGCTTCGGTTAACAAGCTGTTTGCATCCGAGCAGCACTGTTGACAAAGCCATACACAACCCTTCTTACTGAACCGTTTGAAAGCAGCAGGCGTTATGTTCATGCAAACTTCGTGGTAACAGCCTTTGCACTCGTCGCACTGCATGCCGCTTTCAACAGGATAACGACAACCCGGACTTGGCAACTGCTTTTTTTTTTACACTGTCCGGTCATTTAGAAGGGTTTTTTTCAAGATGCGATAATACTCAGAAACAAAAAAATAACCAATGATCAAAAAAGTGAAGAGCTGCAGATTGCTAGGACCAAAAGTACTCACAGATACAGTTGAAAAAGAGATACTCAAGAGTACCAACGACAAAACTAATTGAGAAAACAGTAAAAACGATACTCTAGTCGAATGCTTTAACTGAAATAAATTCAATTAAAGTGAAAACAGTAGTCTTGATGCGTAATAAACGATCAAAACAAAGAAATTTACTCAGAGATGAAAAATATCACTGTTCTTTTTAAATAGCACTGAATTTCGCATTAAAATTTTTGAAATGCAGTTTGGTTCGAAAACGATCATTTTTATTTTAACTATGATTGGCTTCAATGAGATATAAATTGTGACTAGTGAACAAAGGCGTACGATACAGTAGCTTAGATGAATGTCTGCGCTATGTTTGTCTGAAGGGCGGGAGAATTGTGATCTTTTTTGCTATACGGTCGTTTAAACTATTTGGCTAGATGAGTGTTATATGCATGCATCATTGCTCTTCGCTGCTCCAAAGAACTGTCGACTCTGTCAATTTACTTCAAGGCCTTTCGAATCGTGATGAATCTGCTAGGCATGAAGCAGCTGTTACTATACAACGTATATTTGATTCGTGGTATTTTGGCTTTGGTAGCCCCGCTGTCGCTGGTTTCTTAGAGACTGTAGCCAATGATACCGGTGGGGCTACTCTTGATACGTCTATGCACGGGTTGATTACGGAGCAGATCCCAGATCTTTTAAGAATACTGCATACCGCCCCATCATCTGATATACGGTCTGCTGCTAGAGATATCTTGCGTGATTTAAAGGTTATGTTGTCGAATTTTTCCCTAACAAGTTTTTAGATTCAGAAGGGGTTCAAAATTCCGAATACCGTTACATCGTCTCCTAGTTTTATTCAGTCACTAAACGTAATTTCAGTTCCTAATTAATAATTCGATTCTAGATGGACCACATGAAATGCATGGTTGATGAACCAAATGAAGGGGATCCTTTTTACACTGTATGTATCCATTGTTCCACCTAAAGGTTTTTATTCAACCGGATTTTGTTAACCTATTCTTGTCTTCGGTTCATGCTACGATATGCTGATTCTTTAAAACCGGTATAATTCACTGTTTGGTGTTCTGTTAAACAAGGAAATAATCATTGTGTTTTAAATTGTCGTAGAATGGTTGACGTTTGTCGAGAGCACTGTGATCTCCAATTTTTCATTGTAGGGCAAGGGGTCGCTCTTCCTTTTCATTATGTGCCAAAATTTCTACTCAAACGCAGAAAAGTGACTTTTCTCTTACAATTTTCAAGTGACATTATTTGCTATATCAAACTCGAACTTTTCAGACCGTTTAGGCGATTGTTGACACATAGTTATTCTATTCTAAAATTGCGTGATAGACGTATATAAATCTTGTGAGCTTCAAAATTCAGTGAACTATTCAACTGGACGCGTTTGCCGACTGCTTTAATATATATTTATCAATATCTACTCCTTTTAATTACAAATAATCATCAACCTCTCCTGACTGAAAGTTTACTTCACGGATTAAATCTCCACTATCAAGAAGTTAATGATGTACATATATCATACCAGTTAGTCAGTCAGCTACAACGTAGGACCAGGCACATATGTGTATCGGTCCAAGTTGCCATACCGCATTAACACAGTAAGATGAACATCGGATTAATAGGAGTGGTTAAGTCAATGATGGTAATATATAAAAGAAAGATTGCACTCAAGACCTCTGATATATCATACCGGTGTATTTAGATTAAGAAAACCTGCAATTTTAAGCTGTTCCCGTATAGTATTCAATATATTGGCTACACATTTTCTATACTCGCTTTAATTTTACACTTGCATAAATCTGTCACTGAACAACGTTGTACCTGTCTTCCTAAAAGATATTAAGTAGCTGTCATCAACCATAATATACTAAGGGTACTCTCGATTTATTTTTTGAAATAGTTGACATCAAATTTGACCAGAGGTTCTTCCTCTAACAAAATATCTTGCAGGAGCTTAAAAATCTTTCAACTTTCTATTGGGAGCTAAGTGTAACTTAGATTTCGTGACGAGCTCGCTTAGATTCATGCATCTTAGTAAATTCAAGGATGGTATGGTTTCTCACGGAAGGTTATTGGGAGTTATCAATTTAGAGGCTCATTCTGAAAAGACTTAATTTTATCAAGGGTGATTTGTAAAGCATGATATTTGATCTTTGGTTAAGTAAAGGAGATGATCACTACGTCAATATTTACTAAGATCCACTGAATACAGACCAAATTGAAATATTAAGAATTGCGTGGTTAACCTTGTGATATTTCATCTAATCCCACTAGACTTCGTTCAACATACGTCGTTTGTTGCGCAATATGAGACGGTGAAAGTAACAGGTGCACAACTTACCGTACATGTTATGTATTACTAATTCACGTTTTTGGAAACTTGGAGCAACTAAAATCTCTGCCTCGTAATAATGCTGCATACTCCTGTCTATATTTTCTTTCTTCTTATGAAATTCGGTACTTCGGCTTGTATTTTTGATGTGGGTTTTCCGTTCATTCTTAGTTCCATTACAATCAAACAATACATGCAGCTTCAAGCACATTCCAAGCCACCAAAACTGCTGCTTTCGGTTATGGAGTGTAACGTATTCTTGGCAATCTCCACTGTCAGTCTTCTTTCTCAAGCACGTTTCTAGGACTGTTAGGTTCTTCGATTGTATACAGTTTAGACCTCTGGTTTCTTAACAAATAAAGGAGGACACGTAGCTGAAGATTTGCCTTTTCTAATTAGTCAAAAGTAAAAAAAAGACTTGGGAAGCTGTACTTTGAATAATTGTTGAATCTATTTTTGTTGTGGTTTGCTTTTGTGAGAAATCATTAGTTTATTGTTCTTACATAAATCACTCCAGGTATCATAGAGAGTTACACCGTGTTTGTTTTCTTACCTTCTTTGCAGACTTATATATTGTTTCGTGAGTATTGGTTTCAATGGGGACGCCTAAATAACTACATCAATGTAATGGGGTATCATCCTGAATATCTTGAATGTTACATGAAACTAAAGGATCATCTTTTTCGTGGTGACTTGCCATTACCTTATCCAGATCGTTACTATATAGCCATTATTGTAAGTTTCATTGTTTAAGGTAATCATGACTGGTCACGTTCACTCTGTGAGATTTAAATGAGTCAAACAGAATCTATATCAAGTGGTGCTATCACAGATCATATTCAAGGTTTCTAGGGATCTTTATCTTGCAGTTTTGAGTAGCTGTTGTCTAGTATTTAATAAAAAATTTAATCAGGGTGTTTGTCAAAGTCTTATTGGTGCTATTCACTGTAATGAGTTCATCACCGACCTGTTTCTTTCAGATACTATAATACAAACCATTAACTTGCAGTTCCCTTAGCAGGTGGTTCTTAACTGTACGTGGGGGTTTGTTAACCAATCAATATTGTTTACCAGAGTACTCATTTTTGTGACCAAACATTAAAAGCTATTGACATAGTGGTGCGAACCTACGCAACAAAGGGTAGTATCAAACGGAAAATGCCTGATTCACGATCATATCACTGATGTCTCCCCTAATTGTAAGTCCTATGTTTGCAGGTCTGGATTACTATTTTCTGCGTATCAAAACAATGGTACGACACCATATGTAAAATAAAGGAATGCTGGTCAGAGACTGTTAGTTTGTTTATGTTTTTTCCGGAAATTTTTGACTTCTAAGACAATGAATATCGATAGATCTAGTGCTTCTTCAAAACTTGTATTAGGCTTCTCTTTTTGAATAGCAATTAAGGCACGTTAAAACTGCTTGTCAATAAAGTAGTTAAATACATTAACGTGTTGCTCAGTTTATCATTTTCATACTTATTTAATTTTCTCGTGTCCATCGTGGCTCTTTGAATGCACGTTTTCCCAACTCGACCTTTGCTTTTGATTAACTCAGTGTTGTGAACGTATAACTTTCAGTCGTCCCATCTTGAATCTTAACTTAGTTATCGAGGTGTAGGTAGTCGGTAATATCACTAACCTCGTCTTAACCCAGTGGACAAAATGGACATATATTATTTGTATTATAATACACTTTAAAGCCTTAAAGTCATACTGACCTACATGGCATGTCATGTGAGTAATTGACTTCAGCAATTGAAATCTTTGTTTTTTTTGCCTGGTAAATCGCATAGCATTTTTTAAACACTTGTGACAGAAAATGAATAATCTAACCTTTGTAACTATCTATAGTGAACAAACAACAGCATTGTCGATCTGGTTTTCAACAATCTTCAGGTCATAAAAGAATATTTACTAACTCTTCACTGTTGATATTATCCAACAACCTCAGGCTTGGATTTTGCTCAACCAACAAAAAATTTGATCAAGACAATCACTTTTATTGCTAAGCTGTGCTGCAAAACTGCAGAGATCTCCGATATGTTAGCAGATTGACCGTTCTGCATAAACAAGCGCAAATTAAGTTTATTGTAAGTGTATTCAACTATGAGTTTGGCATCAAAATGCAGTTATTTTCTATGCCGAAAAAAGAGCAAGAGACGTGAGTAAATGTGCTTGGATTAGAATTGATTTAGCTTTATCAATTATGGTAGTGGTATTAGCGAATAACTATTGTTCGAAAGTGTTGCTGCGGTAGGTATGTCGCAATAATGGCCAACAATTCGTACAACTATCACATCGTGGATTGACTGGAGCTAAACCTGTACAGCATTGAATCCCGGCTCAATGGTCCAAAGGCTATGCGTTCACTTGCGAAATCTAAGGTCCAGGGTTGTTGATTACTCCTGGTAATGAGTTCAATATGAAACGGTCATTCGATGTTTCCGAGTTTCCGAAGGTTGTCTAACTTAGATCTGTTTGTGGTTTAAACGAAGATATCACATAATTATTAGGTTCTCCCCATTTATTGTCTATTCTCCCTAAACTGTTTACTAGCATTCCCTTGCTTCATCCTGTTCCCAGCCTCAAAACGTCTTCGTATTTCAGTGTTTTAAAATTGAGTACTTTTCCCGCACTTCAGCTGGAAAATACAAAAAACTTTAGTTAAATGCATTTTAGCTTTCAGATTTCTAATCTGGTCCTAGAACTAAATAACTGCAATCTGCGAAATTGTAAATTACCATTATCATGTATAGATCTTTTCTTCCAACCTTTAATACTCTTCTACTCACAATATTAATCCTGTTGTTTAAATATTGACTGTATTTTAGGCAGCTGCACAACAACGGTGTATTTACCTAGTTCTTTTTTTTGTGCGTCAATTCATTAGTTCTGGTGGCCCTTTGTCGTGGTTACAGGGAGTACAGTATGGGCCCCCAAAGTGGCGCCAATTATGTGGATTAAACAGGGATCTCTCAGATCGTCCTTGGAAGATTACAGCTGTAGGTTTGTCATTATATATTTGTTCACGGTCATGCTTCTTATCTAAGTCTTTAGTTTAATTTTAATAAAGATCGTCCCTGCAAAGAATCACGAAGTCGAGCTTCACTTCTTAGCTCTGGTGTTGTAATTTTTGGTGATTCTGTGTCCAGTACTCATTCACCATATGAATTTTTGTTATTTTTTGGAGTTATATCAATTTACGATTTCTATAAACTTTGGAGGTTAGTTCAATTCGTAGGTAATATCCGTTATGACATTAGTTGAACTATCATTAAAAATCAGGGAGAACTGGGGAGTTGTTTCATCTCAGCATGGGACTCCTCATCATTACGCGTCCCGGGTCTCACATGGGACCGAAATCAGGACGTTCTAGTCTCATGGTGAACGCCTATCCATTCGATTGTGGGTTGACGTTCAATGGTGCACGTTTCCAACAGTGTCACAGAGATTAACAATTGAGATTGATGGAAGCTATTTCACTGACGACGTGTCTGAGATTTACGGGTCACAACTTCTCACTAGAAATTCAGAAACTCATATAGATGTAAACCAGTAGTGAGTTTATTATTATGGCTTTTATGTGGAGGTCTCGTAGAGATGTTTAATTTGTAGGTAGTATTTGTGACAGGTCGACCCCTGTTGGGTTATCATCTTCAAATTCATTTAAGTGCTCATATTCATGTAGATTTATGTTTCAATCATGCAATTTAGGATAGGTTGGAAATGCGAATCATGTTGCACTGACTTCACTTCCGGGAATTATACATAACTTCATGATCTATGAAGCTCATTGTGTTGTTCGAAATTTCGTGATTTCCTACATCTACTTTGGTTAATGGTTTGATTGATAACTAATAAATTCCCAATGCCAACCGTTTTTTTAAAGGAAACAGCGTCTCAATAAAATATCGTAAGTTTTCCATTTGATTAACATCAGTACTGGATAATCTGTACTGAATAAAGGTGCGTTGGTCCAAGTTGTCATACCGCGATAGCACTACGAGATCGAATTAACAAGATGAATAGCAAAGGAATCTTAATAATGTGGTAGCAATGATAATGATAACAACTTATTATTGAGAATATGGTACAAAAATGTATGGTGAGAAAGTATCTCTAAAGGAAAACTGTAACTCGAGATGTAGGTGAAGATAGTGGGCGAGGAGATTTAAACCATTTTGTCTGATTCTAAGCCGTTTCACCAGAACTCTACACCAATCGCGGTTATTGCTCAAATCCTAATCACGTAGTCTACATCTAAAAACTTGGCTCAGACCAACTTTCAGTGACTTCATGCTGTGATACCTTATCTTAGTTTAGTTGTCTCTGGTTTTTTTTTCATCGTTTGTGAAAAAAAACGATGAAAAAAAATGTTATTGAGGCAGCAGACGTTAATCAGCTTGCCACTTTACACTTAGCGAAGCAGTTTACTTATATCGACAACTTTGATGATTCTCATCTCTGTAGTCACTTCTGGTCGATTCACTTAAGTAGCAAAGTTGCAAACAGATAGAATTAATCAAATCAGATACTCGGGTAGCTCATCTCTTCTCTGTCTAATTTAAAAGGAACCAACGTAATGCTGAATCTAAGTGAATCCTTGAGACAGGATTAAAAGTTAGATAGTTTACTTTCTACCAAAGGAAGCTAACGGCATAAATATCATCACAATAATATATGTTTCGGTCACATTACATGTCCAACGGATTTTTAAGTGTCATAACTGTAAATGAAACGAAAATTCTATTGAAGGTTTTTATAAAGTACAACTTTTTCATCGGATATGTCTACTTTTAGGATTGTTTGAGTTCAACATATATTCTGAACTTTGCGAATACATTTGTGTTTTGTGACTTGAGCAGAGCTCGCACATATTATATGGAACATGTGATGAACAATTTCTTGTAGACGTGTTGTATTAATGCGTCAGTTGGTTGATGGTTCAAGCTCCTTGATTAGTAGCTATGTAGTCCTAACAAATGTTTCTCAGACCCTCGAGTACATAAAACAATTGTACTTGAATATTGATTTGCATGAACAATCATTTTATTATTAATTTCAATCTGGAATGAGAATTATACCAACTGACGTGAAATATATTTCCAAACTCACTAGGCGTTCTTGTGATTGAACGTAAGGGTGGGTAAGTTAGTCCATAGAAATTTTGAAATTTCATTAATCTGGGAAGTTGCAACAAATGTCGCTCATGAAGTTTCCCCATTTCTCATAAAACAATATTCATTAATGTTATTGAAAAGCAACTTATAAATTAAATTTCTTTAATCACATAACTTTCTACCTAATAACAGATATGTTACATTTCCCTCTTCCCAGTTCCTATTTCAAATACTCGTCATCCATTTTACAAAATCTATTTTACTATCTCCAACAACTCTAGTAATTATCTATTAATCCTTTTCACCCTCTTTAGGATGATATTTACAACTTGACTCATGGAGGGGATTCGAATCCATTAAAAGAAGCATTATCATTGTCTGAATTAATGCACGTTGTAGCTATCCTGTCTCATGTTCATGCTTTAGCTTGTTTCATATTTGGTTGTGGGATTCGTCCTGAAATTGATAATTATGATGGATTAATAAATCTAAATGTAGATAACTGTAATGAAGCATACATATATAACAATCAAACTAGCAATGGAAGTTTCCAAAATAATCTTCATAGTTCTGAAAATGGGAGCACATGTTCCTGTTTAGTTGAACCATGGGACGATCATGTAAGTTTAACTTTCTTGCTATTTGTCTGAGTAAATTATTTTATGGTCGATTTACCCGGTCATTTCATTCTTGATTCTTGTACAAGGGGCGGTACATATCAATCCTGTAACACACATTTTTATCTGATCAAAATTATTTTCAAACTAATATTTGCCAATGTGTTTAGAAGAGTTTGTTTTTATTCTTAGTTTGCTCTCAGTGTAAAACAAGACAGAAGGCATGAGGAATGTGTATTAATTGCGAGAAGTTACAAAGTATTTACATAATACACATTAATAACATTCAATCATCCATGTTCATCTTTCAGTGTGTTGTGCCATCTCAACTGTCCTCTCGTCTGATCTCCAAGTGTCCCACCAACACCGTGCTTTCGACGCACTAAAACTCTTCACTCCGTCTGACGACTTCAACGTCATGTTCCAGCACACACCACTTGCAAACATCCTTGTGAGTAGCATTTACTCCATCAGCAGTACATTTGTTACACCTATTCTCATCTGTAACAAGTTGAATAAATGATGGAGTTAGTGATCATTGACTGATTTTCAGTTATGATTGGCTCAGATTTTCTTCGCTATTGTGGGCCTACTAACCATTTCTTTACGCGGGAGTATTCTCATTAATAAGCTTGTCGTATCGGATGATGTTTCATGAGACTACGCTTTGTCTAAAATTAATCGATTTTACTTTTTCTGTTTCATTTCATCCCTGTCATATCCATCACGTTAGTTTAAGAAAATATAAAAAGTATTTTATACTCATTCGAAAGTCTATGTTTTCTGGAAATGCTTCAACTACTCCCAACCTTTGCGGTTGTTATATCACTCCTGTTGCTTGGTTGATCTTTTACAATCACTCAAAACCGTAGTAGTAATCTACACATCAAAAACTAATAACTGGAGGTGCTTTTTCAAAATTGATTATGTAGTATATTCCCTTATATTCAACACAGTCGTTAATTCCATGGTGATGTCGAATTTCTATCGACCTTCGGCAGGAATTTTTGTAACCCGATAGTATTTTTAGTCCACTCACTGTGTAAAATGTCAGTTCCTTTCTTTCTTCCTTCCTTCCTTACCAACTTACTGATGCCTGTTACTCCTAATGGAGCATGGGCCACCGACCAGCATCCTCCAACCCACTCTGTTGTGGGCCTTCTTTTCTAGTTCCATCCAATTCTTGTTCATTTTTCTCATGTCTATCTCCATTTCCCGGCGTAATGCGTTTTTTTGGCCTTCCCCTCCTCCTTCGGCCTTGAGGATTCCATATGAGGGCTTGTCTTGTGACGCAGTTGGGTGCTTTCCTCAATCTGTGTCCTATCGACTTCCAACGCTTCCTGATTTCTTCCTCCGCTGGGATCTGGTTTGTTCTCTCCCACAGTAGGTTGTTGCTGATAGTGTCCGGCCAATGTATCCGAAGTATTTTGCATAGACAACTGTTAATAAACACCTGTACTTTCTGGATGATGGCTTTCGTAGTTCTCCAGGTTTCCGCCCCATAAAGTAGAACTGTTTTGACATTTGTATTGAAAATCCTGATCTTGGTGTTGGTTGACAGTTGTTTTGAGCTCCAGATGTTCTTCAGTTGTAAATATACTGCTCTCGCTTTACCGATCCGCGCTTTCACATCTGCATCAGATCTACCCTGTTCATCAATGATGCTGCCCAAATATGTAAAGGTTTTTACATCTTCCAAATCTTCTCCGTCAGTTGTGATTGGGTTGGTGCATGCTGTGTTGTATTGGAGAATTTTGCTTTTCCCTTTGTGTATATTGAGACCTACTTCTGCTGAGGCTGCTGCTACACTGGTCGTCTTATCCTGCATTTGTTGTTGCGTTTGGGATAGAAGGGCCAGATCATCTGCGAAGTCTAGATCGTCCAACTGCATCCTAGATGTCCATTGTATCCCGTGTTGCCCTTCAGATGTTGACGTCTTCATGATCCAGTCGATCACCAGGAGAAAGAGAAAGGGTGAGAGTAAGCAACCTTGCCTGACACCGGTCTTTACCTCGAACGAGTCTGTCAACTGTCCTCCATGCAGGATTTTGCAGTTTAATCCATCATAGAACTTCTGTATGATATTGACTATCTTCTGAGGCACGCCGTAGTGTCGAAGAAGTTTCCATAGTGTTGTTCTGTCCACGCTATCAAATGCTTTTTCGTAGTCAATGAAGTTGATGTAGAGTGATGAATTCCATTCAATTGATTGTTCCACAGTGATCCGTAGAGTTGCGATTTGGTATGTACACGGTCTATCCTTACGGAATCCTGCCTATTGGTCTCGAAGTTGGACATCTACGGAGTCCTTCGCCCTGTTTGACAACACCCTTGTTATGACCTTGACGTCTGGCAATTCTATCACACGAATTATCTACCAATTCGAATACGACTTATACGAGTCTTCACACTAGGCCAACCAATGACGTTCAACCGGTGTGGGCAGTTTAGCGTCCTTATTGGTCCTATGTCCTCCTAGCCCTTCCACTTGAGTCCAGAACACAATACCAGCTTCCGTAATATGAATCGAATCGAATCGAATCAGATCAAATCGTTTATTTCAGACATACTCGGTTTATATGTCAATCAGACAGACCACAACGTACCATAAAATAGAAAATAACATGTGTACACAAATCAGCCAAAAAGTGGCTGTGAACGAGGGGGACAGTAACTAATAGACTGAGCATAGCTTAAGAACCGTAAATCGTACAATAATAAATTATAGGTCAAAATAAAGCTTATAATAAGAGGAATATAAATATACATAATGTAATTGTTGAATAGTTATACAATAAGAATATTTATAGAATATTAGTTCATTAATAGTCCTTGGAAGTTACCTGTAATTTAATCTTCACCGGGATATAACAACCCTGTTGAAGACTTTTCCCGGTATTGAAAGAAGAGTGTTGTCCCCGTAGTTATCACAGTTGCTGAGATCGCCTTTCTTTGGTATTTTGACCAGAAGTCCTTTCCAGTCTTTTGGTACTTGTTCCTCATCCCAAATCTTATTGAAGGGAATGTGGAGTATCCTTGCAGTTACCGCTACGTCTGCTTTCAGTGCCTCTGCCGGAATGTTGTCTGGTCCTGCTACTTTGCCACTCTTGGTTGGTCTGACGGCCATGCTGATTTCTTCAGTTGTTGGTGGGCCAACATCGATTGGGAGGTCCGTGTGTGCTGCCTCAATGTTGGGTGGGTTCAGTGGGGCTGGTTGATTTATGAGTTCTTTGAAGTGTTCTACCCACCTGTTTTGTTGCTCTTCAATGTTGGTGATTACCTCGCCTTCCTTGCTTTTCACTGGTCGTTCTGGTTTGCGGCGATTTCCAGAGAGTTTCATTGTTATGTTATACAGTTGTCTCATGTTTCCTTTTCTTGCAGCCTTTTCCGCCGTCGTTGCTAAATCTTCCACATATTTACGTTTGTCGGTTCTGATGCTCCTCTTCACTTGTTTGTTCACCTCTGTGTATTCAGCTTGTGCCTTGGCTTTTTCTGCTCTTGTTCGGCTGGTATTGATTGCTGCTTTCTTGTTCCTCCTTTCTTGAATCTTATCCAGTGTATCAACAGTGATCCATTCCTTGTGATGGTGCTTCTTGTGACCCAGGACCTCATGACATGTTGAAGTGATTGCCTCTTCGATCCCCTTCCAGTTGCTCTCCATAGTAGTTCCTTCTTCATTGAGTAGATCATGAAAGGCTTGGAACTTTTTGCTGAGGACTATCTTGAATTTGTTGAGTTTGTTAGCACCCTGAAGAAAGGCCGTATTGAACTTCTGTGATATTTTCCGCCCCATTGTCCAGTGCTTCTTGAGTTTCACTTTCATCTTGGCGACCAGCAAGTGATGATCTGATGCTATATCAGCTCCTCTCTTGGTTCTCACCTCCTCTATAGTCCTCGTGAACGCTTTGTTGATGCAAATATGGTCGATTTGGTTTTGCGTGGTGTGATCCGGTGAAGTCCATGTGGTTTTGTGTATGCGTTTATGTGGGAATATGGTGCCACATATGACCAGCTTATTGAAGGCACATAGGTTTGCAAATCTCTCACCATTTTCGTTCCTTTCTCCCAGTCCGTGTCGTCCCATGATGTCTTCATATCCAGTGTTGTCCATTCCAGCCTTGGCGTTGAAATCTCCCATCAGAATGGTCAGGTCCTTTGTTGGGCACTTCTCGACTATTGACTGCAGCCTATCGTATAATTGATCATTAGCGTCTCCATTGTAGTCGTTGGTAGGCGCATAGCATTGGATAACGTTCATTGAAATGCCCTCTTTCTTTGTTTTGAAGGAGGCTTTGATGATCCTTGGTCCATGAGAATCCCATCCTATAAGTGCATTTTGTGCTTGTTTGGACAGCATCACTGTAACTCTTTGTGTATGTGGGGCACTTTCTTCATCATGGCCGGAGTATAACGGGAGCTCTCCTGAAGTTAGTCGTTGTTGTCCAACTTGCGTCCAACGTGTTTCACCGATCCCAAGCACCTCTGGGTTGTATCTCCTCATTTCTGCAGCAATTTGGGAGACTCTCCCGGTCTCCCACATTGTACGAGTATTCCATGTACTTAAATAAATGGTTGCTCTGGTTTTCAGAAGGGGCATCGGTCTCGTGACTTCCGAAGGGACTCGGCTTTCATCATGAGGCGTCATCACTCTTCTAAATGAAGGCCTTCTGACTCCCAGGGCAGAGTTTAAAAGGTTCGAATGATTTTTTCTGGTTAGTGTTTTCTTAGCAAGTTAGTTTTCTACGGGATGGGGTCGCTAACTCCCAGCCCTCACACAAATCGAATGATTTATGTGACGCATATCTGTTTGGTGCCTACTTGTACCAATGTTTATGTGTTTGAATAAATAAGTAATAAATATGTTTCGAGGATATTATAGAGTTTACGATGGTTGTCTTTTGGAGCTTACAGTTACATTTTTATGAGAGTATTTGTAGAATAGAGTATTTTAAACAGATATTTCAGCTTTTGATACTGTATAAAAAATCTACTACCGAAGGAAGCTCTTTGAGTTTCTTTGTACTTGTCTGAAAATTAATCCTAATGCTATGTAGTTTTAAATTTTGTTTTCTAGAGAATTGCAAAGTTGAAAATATTTAGTAACACTTTACCATGTTATTTCTAGAGCGTATGCCCATTGGTACTTGAATTCCAGATGGATATTCCTAAGTTTTAGTGAGTTATGATTCATAGTTCCCGATCTTTATCTATCAAATAAGATTTTTCATTATTTTCCAGACTTCAGAAAACGGAAATGTAAATAACCAGGACTCACACAATGATGAACCATCTGATGTAGATGGAAAATTAAAAGCTTCCAAATTACTGAAAATCATCCAAACGGAAGATTCAAGTTGGGAAGATGTCGCAGAAGATATTGTTGCTGAACAATTTTTAACCGCTATCATATCTAATAGTCAATGTGAGTTGCTTGTCGACCTATTGAATGTTAGATTCAATCTGTTATATTTCACAATTAATTTCATAATGATTACAACCTATCCTATTGGCTCAGAACATCAAAAATTTAGCAGTCATGGCATTCCTTTTTTTATTAATTTCACGCGTAATTCTTTAAACTCTAAATTGTCATTTTTGTAACAACTAAGCCAGCCTAAATTATTTTTATCTACCTATAAAAAATGTCAGAGTTATGTTTCTAAAAAATGGTTCAATTTCGTGTTTGATAGTTAAATAAAAAACAAAATAGTAGTTTTAATGTTAAATGAATCTTAGGCGGTTGGTATTTAACTCAATTATCTATCGGGATTAACACTCCCCAATATCAGGAGCAAGGAAGTATAAATCCTCAAATACTAGGTAGGTATTTGAGATCTAATGAGATGTAGCGACTGACAATGTTTTCTAAATCATGGTTTATAAGTTGTCAATGATAATACAACCTTTAGTATCTTACCTTTGTTGGTTATTTATTCATAGATGACTGTTTCATATTTCTATTTGTGTATTTTTAATTATGTTTTTTACCGGTTAGTTATTCTTCTATCCTGAAACCTGATGGAAGTAGTGTTAATTTTATGCAAACACAATATTCACTTTAACGTTTTTGTGATGTAGCTTTCCAATCTGTTTATTTGTAAGATTATAAGTTTAACTTTCAGTTCTCCAACTAAAGAATATATCCTTCATCCAAAGACTTTACAATCAGTTCTATTTCACACATTAGAAATCTGTTTACAAATTACAGTCAGTCAGAGTTATTTTGTTTTTCAGCTTATATATCTTCATGGTCCGTTCACCTTTCGTTTATCGGTTTCTGTTCTGGTTTAATAAATGTATATTTCTGAAACCAAATCGTAATTTGTAAACTTCAACGGTGGATTCCATATTTTGAGAGAAAATAAATTCTTATGAATAATTAAAACTGTTCGTTTATATTTTATAATCAATTTACTTTTCATAGCTAAAAATGACTTGCAAAAAATGTAAAGCCATCTAGTATTGATTATTAATTTTCAGTGGATTCTGAAGCTGTCTTCCCATCAAATAATATGATGAAGCATATTGAAAAACTATCTTATCATCCGCTCATCTCACGTTTCTTAGATTCTCCACAGTCTGGTTACAAAAATTTCGATGCTCGTCCATTTCATGCAACTGTATGTGCAATTGAATCATTCTATTGTTTTTATTATTTTTACTTTTATTATTAAACCTGTCATGACACATTTTTTTTTAATAAAATACAAGTTTGAAATGGGTTCTCGAGTTATTACATTTGAAGAGAATACAATTCGACGGAGTTTGTTGCTGGTAGTGCTAAGAGATTCGATTATTCTTTAGGTAGTTCGTGTGTTGAGATTTCAATTTGTGGAGGTTTTCTAATCAACTAACATCAGTTATTTGAAAAATCACTGAAAAACGCGGAACACAGATTAGCAATTGTCTTCTTGTTTAAAACTACTTAGTCATGTGCACTCACTCCTCTCCACTATAATCAAATTGAAAAATTCTTCACAAACCATGTTGTTGCTCATTGCGGATTAATCTCAAGTTAGGTTATTCGATGCTCTTGTGGAAATCTTTGACATGTCCAGTTCAACGATCACAGGTGAAGACAAATTACACACGGGATTTTATGTTAACTTATCTATAATGCCAGCAAACTGATACTAGAATTGTAAATCACAGGAATCCGTCCAACCTAGTTAATCTACAGGTTTTGTTCACGAGAGTCAAGGTTCTAAGATTGATCCTGGTTGGTGCCTTGAATACACGCATCCGGTTAGTTTCGAGCATAGATGATATAAGTGTCTAATACCCTTTAGTGTTGTGTAGTTTTTCAATCTGTGATAAAATCATCTCCATTTGTTCGCTCCAAAATCAAGCGAATAATAAGGATCATTTAACCATTCAGTTCTTTCCAGATGGTTCCTACAGTAATATCTCTTGACTTGATCATTCTATCGTTTTTCCGGTAATATAATATAATCTTCAAGTCCCTTTTTTCTCTTTCCAAATCTATTTCACTGGATTATACTCCTTGAATAACATCTTCAAATTTTAATTTTTCTGATTACTGCTTATATTTTTCTACCTCTACCACTATGGGATTTGAATGGACAATGATATCTCTGTGCTAATGTGGTATGGCAACTCAAACTGATGTACGTATGTAAGAAGTTCTACGTTGTTGACTGACTGAATATAATGATTTGAAATGTCACTTACAAATGTCTCATAAACATCGATCATTTATAATGAAAATTTTCGGCGAGAATATAATTTATGGACGAACCAATCAGATATAAGTTAACTAGTCACGAATTTGGGCGCAATATTCATCCATAAATTTGGCTAAATAGAGTTTTGGCATTATGGCTGATATCAGTTCTTGATGAAAACCATAAATATAATTTTTTTAACACTAACCATCAACTGTAAATGAGAATCCTAACTGCTTTATAACCCTCATTTAGTCCTAATCAGTAGGTCTCCACTCTCAAGGTCACTTCAGCGTTGCTCGAAGGTCGTCCATAACTTATAGTCTCATCAGATTTTCTTTACATCATATATTCACTTTAAAAATACAACCGTTTGATCAAGAATCATAAAAAATGACATTGATCAATTCCTTTTTTGCAAGACTGGGGTTCAATACTCCTTTTACTGATTTTATTTTCTCTCATACACATAGATGATAGTCTAAAGAAACAGTTTATTGTTATGGTTTTTCGCGGTAAATAAGATGACTTATAATGATGATTACAAACGGTGGTCGCAGTAGTAGTAACAGTCATCTCAGATAAGGGTACAGTTTTATTGAAGTATTATTTTTTGGAAAAAGATATGTCTCCATTATCAAATTTCTTAATATTTTGTATATTGGCTTAGTTTATATTTATTGTATCTATTCATAATAAGACCAACTATCTCTTTGCATCATTGTTAACCACTGCTTTCAGTTCATTGTGTGAAAAAATAAGTGAATAAATACTTCATATGTCTAGAGGCCGAATACCTATGTAAATAAACGATATATAAATACTTACTCAATCGCCGACTTCCCTATTTACTTTTAATATTCATTGATTATTATCATTATTATTACTATTAATATTATTATCCTCACTTTTTTTGTTAAATTATGTGTATGACTGGCATGCATCATTTATGTGATTTGATCCTTTACTATCAAAATAGTTCATCTCATTCCCCGATGTAACCATCATTTGTGTAGGTGGTTGAGTGTCTAGGTAAAAACTATTATTGAGTTCTAAATGTCTCAATGATAAGTAACATTTTTACGTGTGAGCTTGACTATGCAAATGACAGGAACGAAGTCATGCAAGCAAAATACCTTACACTACACCCCTATTAGCTCTTTTACCGCTCCAAAAATTGTAAAAGCACAAGAGAATAGTAGTTTTATTATAACTGGTACTAAAGTGGATAAAATGAAAAAGGCACAGGTTTTCATATGGGTATTTTCGATAACCGCTCACCGGCAACACTGGTCTCTGAACATCAAACTGAACGCGTAGGGATTCAAAGTTCACAGTAGTGATTAAAAACACCAATTTTTTCAATGATTCTGGTCAAACTTTCGGGAAATATTACATAAACTAACAGAAGTCCAGTTGTTTAAATACACATGTATTCGCACTTCAGGTTCTATGACGTCCATGTATATGTGCTGTGCTCATTGATGTAATACTGTAAACCAGTTTTTTCAATTTGTAAATATGATTGTTTGATTAAATTCAATTTGATCCTATTATAATCTTTTTCTCCCTAAACTTCATATTCTAGGAGTATTCATGGCAAGAAGAAGGATTACCTCTAGCTGATCGTCTGTGCACTGAGCTAGGTTCACTTTTGGATGAGAAATTCCGAAATGCTTATGATTTGACCTATAATACGTAAGTATATTTCTTCAAATTGCTTGTTATTCTATCGTATTGTGTTTTGATTACATTCGATTTGTTTTCTTGTTATAATTAGCTGCCGTATAGAAGGACGAGTATTTGTTTGGTTCGTAAAAGAATCTAACTCTTTTGACTTCTTGTGTATCATCTTTAGTTGTTTTCCAAAGGGTATTTATTGTGTTGTAAATAAGACACCTAGAAAATGTTAAGTATTAAAATATTTCTGTCAGTGACTGTATCACATTTAGGCCTAATGACTTCCATTCACCCAATGTAATTGACATTTTAAAAATTGGTTTGTATCTCTGTCACTACTTGAGAGAGAGGGTTTCAAGGTTTGTTATGAATGCTTGTTGTCTACAGAATACTTACTAACTGAAGTTTTCTACTTTGATGCAGTAGGCCACAAGTTCCAACTACTTCGGTTTTTGTTGCATGGTGGTTATATCAGCCTTGTACATTTAAAGGTATCTATCGAAACCTGCAATTAATAAGTTACAGTGTTTCTATGAATGGAAGTGCAAACTGTTTATCACTAAATAATACACATCGGAACATATTTAATTATCAGGATGGGGATCTTTGGGGATTATAGTAATTTTAACAGTTGAATTCATGAGTCGATCTAAGCTAGACCACCGTTGTGGGTGTGGCCCCCTAAGAAAACCACCTGCTTCGGTCTGGGCACCCGGGCAGTATCACAGCCCTCACACAAATCAAATGATTTATGTGGCGCATATCTATTTGGTGCATCCTTGTACCAATGTTTATGTGTTTAAATAAATAAATAAGACCACCATTGCAAACCTGGAAGCACTGGATGACCGTTTCGTCCGTATGAGACTCCTCATCATCGCGCACCCACGATTTCGCACGAGGGACTTGAACCCAGGACCTTCAGTCTCTCGCGTGAACGCTTAAACTCTAGACCACTAAGTCGTCATCCAGTGGTGTTAATATCTAACTTCACTCGATCCATGATCTTGCGCAACCCTTCATCCATTATCTCTAGTAGATAATTGTCCTGCACACGACACGGATTGGAATCCGCTGGTCATTAACACCGTCGGATGAAGACTTAGTGGTCTAGACTGAAGGTCCTGGGTTCGAGTCCCTCGTGCGAAGTCGTGGGCGCGCGATGATGATGAGTCTCATACGGACGAAACGGCCATCCAGTGCTTCCAGATTTTCAATGGTGGTCTAGCTCAGATGGATTCATGAATTCAATTGTTAAAATATATTTAACTGATAACTTAGCAAAGCCAAATTGTTGATACAAGCCTCCGAATAAACTAACGTTGAAGGACAACTCACTTGGCTGTTTAAATGCTTTTCCTCTTTAGTAAATATGTGTTTGTACTGGCGCTTTCTGGTTTGCATAATTGCTGTTCAAACAATCACAAATTGATAAATTAACAAAGTTAAATTCTCTCTCTTACACTGGTATATTATTTTATTGTTAAGTTATTCGGTTGATATCATTTATAAAATAGGAATCTTATTAAATAAACTGGCTTTGTTAAAGTTCAATCGGTTTTTATTTGGTTGATTTAATAAATAATTAATGGTAAGCACCAATTGTTCACCCATATGTTTGTTGAGAAAGAAATTTGTTTTTTGGAGTGTGAGTAAATGTAATTTTGGCATATTTTGTTTTTAAATATTCTAGGTTCATTTGGTGAATTTAAAAAAAACTATGTCCACTCTTAATTTGATCAGTGATTCATCCATTTCAAACAATTAGTTTTTATTCATCTGTTCATAAGTGTGAACTGTACCACCACTTTGGGAGATTTGTTAGTATTTCCTGTTAGGCTTTATAGAAAATAAGCGTTAATCAGTAGAATACATAAATTTCGTTATCATCAAGTACGATAGGTTATAGTATCCTTGTCCTCATATAAGCTTAAATACGCTCAGATTAGTTAAGCCTTTAACACTGCCATTTCATTCCGTAGTTATTCGTTTATATTTTTGTTTATAACTTGGTAAAAGTATACTGTACTGACAACTTTGAGCTGCCTATTAACTAACCAGAAAACAGGTTTTATCTATAGAAATTTTAACAAAAAGCACTAAATTTATGGTGAGTGAGTAGTCTTGGTATGATTAATGAACCCTTGCTTGTTGCGTTATTTACTATAGTAAACAGAGAAATGTTAAGTTCAATTACTAACACTTGATCTAAAGTTGTAAATAAAGGCTAAAGTTTTCATCATGGATTGAAATAAGCTATAATGGGAAAAGCTAGGGTAAGGTATTCGGATGTTGGTTAAGGTTATAAATCATAATTAGGGTTATAATTTTCATCACCAACTATAATGCAATGATGCTTTCCCACTCTTTTGCTTATGAACTTATTAATGATGGTTAGTCAGTCTGTATCAGGTAAGTATTTCGCGTAATTTGTATTAAGTACCATGTCATATTCACTGTGTGGATGCATTTAAGATGTTTTTATCAAATAAAAACCAAGATATTAACCATTTTTACTTATTTCAAATAAGATACATCTTACCCTTCATTGCACATTGAGTTCCAGAGCAACGATCTCTTCTGATTGGTTTACTCAAGGCCATCAGTTTAGTATGCTTTTACCATTCATTTCTTTCACTGTGCTTGTTGTTAATATAATTTGAGCTGTTCGTTGAAATAAGGTGTTCTTTCTTCTTCGTTTCGCCTTTTGTAAATTGTACACTTGAAAAATCATAACTTGTTCAGCCTGTTGGAATACAAAGTACAAGAATTATCGCAAACATATTCGCAGCCAAATGATTATTGGAGAGAACATTAACAATATAATTATATTCCAAAAAGGAATACATAAAAAGTTACGTTTGTTGTTGAAACAAAGTTGAGGACTGAGAGTGTACTAATTTTCTCGATATTGACTCTTAACAAGTTAACATGCTGTACTCTCCGAAAGTCTGTTAAAACATAGCTACTGGAAATATATGGAAGGATTTACTTAGGCATCCTATATATCTACCGGGATTGATCGATTTCTGTTTAGGGTGTCAACCAGTGAGTTTAATCTTGAGCTTAGGGCTAGATAAATCTTAGTTTCTTTTGGTTCAAAATGTATGTCCTCCTAGCCCATTCTTCGGTTCGATAATACAACACAGCAAACAGTAGTGCAGTAGTATTATATCTATATCAAACAGTCTATATACATGGATTATCAGATCGTAAAGCATCCTAAATACAATCATGTTGTAAGTAGCATCGAACTCACCAAATGGTACGCAATTAAGGAATAGTAAATCGTTTGGAATTAGTTGGAAGGTCCAAATGGAGCTCACAATATAGGGAATATAGAAATACAGTAATCCAATTGTCTAATAATTACATATTAAAAGTATAACTAATAATAGTCCATAAAATAGTCCCATAAGTTCCAGCGTCTTCAATGCTCACCCCGTTATAATAGGCTAAAGAAAACCGTTCTCGAATAATGTTTATTTTACACTTTGAAGAAATTGGTGGTGGTTATCTGTGCTCAGTATTTTAGTGAATAACGCGTTGGCGTCAAAACGATGTACAGGTCGTTTGAGTCCATTTTCTCAACTGGGTGTAGGTTAAAATGAGGGGAAACACATTTAATACTGTGATCGTCTAGTACCTATTTAATCCAACTGTATCTATTGCAAGGGAGAAATATTTCTGATAATCCTTCCTAAATTTATTGTCCATAGTATCACCATAAAGTTGTTGTCGGAAATTATGCAAGTACGTTGTCGATCGATTGTTTTTTCATAACTGTCTTATGATAATCAGAACTTGTAACTTATGTTCTGTTCTATTTTAAAACTGCCTTATTTTCCTCAATTTCGTCAATAATCTCGTAATTATAATTATTTTCTCATATTTCCTTCTAAAGTCTAAACGGGATTCAAAATGTCGATACGTCTCTTTATCGTCGTACAGTTTGGAATGAAGTGCAAAGTTTTTTCGGTATATGTCATGATGATTTTCGTTATGACCGTGTAAATCGTTTGTTAACTACTTCACAACGTGCCTATTTAAAATTGTGTTCCACTTTCCCAGTTGCAGTTTATACAATACAAAATCTCAAATTTGAAAATATTTTCCCTGCCCTATCATCTTCAGAAATGGTAAGTAGCGATTTTCCACTATTCTATTCGTCTGTCCACTAGTCTTCAAAATGCTGTTGAATATATGAATTTACTATTGGATACCATGCAGATAGCTTCCTGCAATATATTGCACAAATAGATTAAAGATGCTTGTTAGAATGACCAGTTTTATAACTAAAGTGTAGATTGTTTTTAGATATTAGCTTTTGTTACTTGTAATTTGCACCATGGACTGAATTTAGTTAGAAAATCGTTAAAAGCTAGAAAGCACTATATAGTCTTTTCATCCAATTATGCAAGTCCTCAATTGTGCACATCCACAACCCTACCGGATATCGAACTTAGGAACTTCAGGCTCTTTGGAAAGCACCCAACCTTCAAATAATTAGATCAGGATCCAGTTAAAATTCCAAACAAATCTTGACTTCCAACCATTGAATTCAGATATTTGAATCTCGTGCTTTAGCCTAACCTACTTCAGTTTAGACATACGTACAGGGTTAGTTGTTCTTGGATTATTATTTATCATTTTTTCTTCTATCCCCTATGTTTTATTATTTATTCTTTAAAATCTTTTGGTCTTAGATTCATGTGATCCTTATGATTATTGAGGCTAGACAACAAGCTTGTTTATCGTATATCCTTCGAGCGGTTTCTCAATGTCAAGTCAGAAATAATTGAATATATATGTATACATAATGTATTTCTCCATTAATATTTTCGAACAGGTTTGTCGATTTCATAGTTTTACATATACAGAACGTTTATTTTTTAAAAGATTTTTTAAACTGATAATTAGTAGGTAGTTAGATTATCAGGACAAAACAACCAGTCTTACCGTCAGATGAATAGACATGTTTTAACGTGACAAATTAAATGTAGTGATAAATCGAAATGATTAAATTTACTGGTGGGGGTGAGGAGGAAGTTTACAATAAAAACGTGAATAAATGAAGAGAATATGTGGTTATGATATGATACAGTATATTGCTTGACGAGGATGTCTACTATCCCCATTCCTGTCTTGCTTCGTGTGTATTCTTCTACTAGTTTCTATTTTTCCCAAGGTTTAATGTGATGGGTGCACATATTCGAATCAGTTTTATTGACGCTGTCAATTAAGTTCATTTGACTGATCTCATTGAAAAGAAGTAAATTTCTATGATCACTTAACAAATCTGTTTTTTACCTATAAGATTTTAAGTGTTTCTATCATCGACTGGTTTTTTTGCCTATGTCTAGTCACTCAATCAAATAATTACTAGTTAAGCATATAGGTTGCATCACTTATTTGCTACATTTTTATTTAGTTCCAGTTGTCTACACTTACAGATGGACTTTTAGTATTTACTCAGAAAGCTGATTTGCTCTTCACTGCCAACCTGTGTCACATACAGACTTAATAGTGTTGAAATATCTGTATGAATTCTCATCTATTGAACTGTACGTTACTTAATTTCATATCCATAAGATATGGTTTTTGACGGGTAATAGCTTAAGAAGACTATAGATATTTCATTATAGATAAGTTTGAAGTGTTACCTGCTTTTAATTGAACCATCAAGTAATATTTATTGATATTAATTAGAAGTTTTGTATGCGATTTGGTAGGGTTTCAAAAGTATTGGCATTCGATTAAAATATTCCAGATCTATGTTATGCATATATGTTCACTGTTTATTCATGTATATGATGGTATTTGGATAAAAGACGTTGTTATTATTACTAAAATATAGCGTCACTAGTTTGCTTACTCTAGAGTTCTTCTGAGCCTAATTGATGCGATTCCATTCATAGTATCAAACACCAATCACATATTCGCCAACTTTTATATTGAGCTTACTATTATTTGATGTATTTCGTTGTTAGTGTTACGATTATTAAGTATTTTTGTCAATGTTGTGGTAACCGATTTATTTTGTAGGCAGTTACTTCATATCTGCGAGTCTATGCAAAAATATTTTGTGTTTCCTGCCTACAACTCTGAACTATGGATATCGTGTTGATTGTTCACCTGACATACATGGATTAAAAACAAAGTATTCAACGTATTTCACTCCCCATTCTTATTCCACTGATGCATTTGCACTCAGAATACTTTCATTCGTTTAAGTGAAGTAATTCCTTCCGTTTTTGGATAATTCATTACATGACAGTTTGTTAACGCCATCATTATTTGTTATTTATCTTTCTATTCGGATGTTCTCTATTTTTTCAGTTCTCAATTAATTCACCGTTGTTCCTTTTTCTTCAAGCTTAAATTAAGATATCGGTAGCGTTTTCAGCGTCAAGTATATATTATTATTTATCATTCTTGTGGTTTGGCCTTTTATAACCTTTTACTGTGATTATTTTAAACAAGACTCTGTGTTTGTGTCTTCTCATGTATGCTAGTTCAATTAAAAAAGGAAGATAATAGTTAACATGCATATTTGGTTGCATTGACCATGTGTTTTTGCAAAATTATCCTTCACGTAACTCTGTCAGTTAGGCTCGTAAAATTGTATGCTTGTGTCCATGTTAAATGGGGAGGGGAACTTACTGTTCATAGAGTTTTAGAGTATCTCTGTGTGTTGGTTACTGTCCATTTACTGTTCAGTACTGATTGCTATTTTGTCGACTTTTGGTCACTATCCTCTCTCATCGTGATTTTATGTTTACATTCAAATAATGTTCTCTTCGTGTATGGAGAAAGCAACTTCACAGTTTACCAACCTTCGATTTTTCAAACAATAATTTTTATTTTCCCTACTACTCCCCCAGTTTATGGTGCATTAATTTAAGAAAAGTTTATTGCTTTTATTCTCCAGAATTATGTTTAATATACACATATATATTTACATATTTGTTGTTTAGTTATGACTAAATCGCCTGTCCTGAAACTTCTTGACGTCATTGTTTTCTTATTTCTCTCTGTATTTTCCCATAATCATAATTATACATACATGTAATTTTATTGGTCGAGTGTAGAATTATTTTTATTGGAAACAGTTTTTCGTGGTTCCTTTTCTCTCTGTATTCAAAAACCCGGCTTGTATAAATATATATGCAAGCTTTGTTCTGTGACTTGTTTTTCCCCAAATATTTTCTCTCACTCTATTTTTCTCCCTGTAGTTCTTATCATCTCTCTGTTAATGTTAGTAATTTACCATAAAGAAAAATGAAAGATGCCATAAAGAAGGCCCCAGCAAATAACAATTAACAGTCACTGGAAACGTCTAGTTTTATTTTTTAAGTACTTTTGTTTAAAATCTGATTTGTTGATGCATTTCGTTCGAGCACAAGTTACAAGAACCATTGTGTTCATATATATTAGATTTTTGTGATTTAATTTGAGCGTTTTCACACATGTACACATAATCTATATGCGATTGTAAAATCTTGATATGATAGCATGTAACTTTAAAGCCACCAGCAGTCGATAAGGAATTTTCGAAGTGACATAGTAATATGTACAGTAGCAACAAAAGGTACGGCTTCCTAACCATGGGTTTAATAAAAGAAGATTTTTTATCATTTGTTTTAGAGATAACAATCACTGGATAAAGGATTGTAAACAAGAATCAAAGATAAATCGACAAATATATCATATTTCACACTTATTTCCAAAAATCTATTCTACAATGTTTAATAACCGAATTTTTGGAGGAGTGATTGCCCTGTCATCACTTTATAAATTCAGTCACATTAATCTATTAGGCAATCATCTCAGTGTATTATCAAATGCTCTGCCATAGTCGCGTAGGTGATGTTATTTGAGTGTGTTAAGTAACAGGTGGTCAGCATCTTTCATTACAAAGTCTGCTTCATACTAGCTGTTTTACTTACCAGTCCAATTCAGTATGAGGTTGCAGAATATGTGTCAAAAAATACCATTTATTCTAATGTAGCAAACAGCTTGAGTTGCGGAGTGCATTGATTATAAATATTCGGATTGATTATAAATATCTGTATATCGTTACATATATTTTCTGGTCTTATTTCAGGTTATTTGTTTGTTGGTACTTTTAAATAGTCTAGTAAATTTAAGTGAAATTACTTTCATTAGTATTTTTTTGTCAGTACCGCAAAGGTGGCAGCAGAATTCATAAGTGATGAGGTGAACTTTAAATTTTATAACTAAAGAGAATAGTTAGAAATTATAGTGAAAAAAAGTATTATAATAAAGTAATCTCATTAATGTTAGCTGACTATAAAAAATCAAGAGCAAGCCTCAAAAGGGGTACACATTAATAAAGGGAAAGGCATTGAAGTAAAAAGCAGTTCGTTTTAAAATAATTTATTTGGGTATTGAGTATAATTGTACATGACAGGAAATTCGATCTTATTACATTAAATTAAGATCAATTAGTTATAGTGAAAGTATGACTATAGAATAAATTGGTTGCACATTCAGAAATAAGAAAATAATTGATGAGAAGAGGATTTGGAGTTGTGCGCAGTATCGTATAGCGAAGTCTAGTTGACATTCATGCAAAGTATGAAGTTATCGTGAAACAGCCGATGGAGAAAAATCATGTTCCGAATAAGATTAAGGCAGAGAAGATAGTCAGGAGAATAAAAAGAAGATCAGCTTCATCAACAAAACAGATACGTCAAATTGTACCTATGTTAAGTGGCTATTTATTGTATGGAGTGTCAGCTGAACTTCCAGCTGTGGCTCAGACGTCACAGATACTTTGGTGGATCTAACATGATAAATGTAAACTCATTGAATGCAATGGATGTGAAGCGTCTCTAATGGGAGTGAACTTCTTCCTATTAGACTGGGCGCAAAACAATTCTGACCTTGTCTACAACTCAGAATCTAAAATTTAATGGGCAGTGTGCTCATTGGTACGCCAATGAAACATTCAAGACATGATGCCTTTAATAAAAATGATATATTTGTAATATCCCGATGAGTAGAAAAATTCAATTTCGTGACTCAGTGTAAATAAATAAATAAAATCTAAGTTTACATAGTACAGAGGAACAAAGCAAGAATATTTAATGAGATCAATCAAAAACGGGTCTGACCAAGTTAGTGTCATTTCATTCCGGTCAACGTGATTTGTATGCTCTCACTTCGTCTGAGGTGTTTGTATATAGGGCTTTCAAGATGTTAGTAAACTTTTCGGGACGCCCTTCTTCAACAGGCAAACCTAGAGAACAGTCCCGTCCAAATAATCGAAGGTGGCCCTAATGTCAAGAAACACTACGCTTGCTGACCTATGATAAGTATGACGGTATTCTAACATTTGGCGAAGGGTGAAGATATGATTAATACATCCTCAATCATGACGAAAATCATCCTGTTCATCACGAGTCAGTCTTCCTGAACAATCTATGAAGTATGACGGAAGCCAATATTTTGGATGCGATAGGAATTAGGCTTATCCACCGATAGTTGTAGTAGGAACGATGTGAACGCTTTTTAAAGACAGGAACAACTGTTGACTTAAGGTCAACAAGAACTAATCAACATCGAGGTGTACAGGACAAGCTGTGAAACACATATGGAGAAATTCGAACACTTCATTCCTATCTGGAGTTTGTGCTGATGATGTCGTTCAGAAGAACGATGAAAGCTCCACGACCAAACCATCCAGTTCAGAGAACAAAACTCCATCAAAATCATCCACTTGATCTACAAATCTTCTCCACTATTTCATTGATAGTCTGATAAAGGATTAGAAATCAAGCATTTCAATTCAGATATCTTACAAAAGCAACTAGAAAGTCATTACAATCTGATAGCGGCATGGATTAAACTGGTTTTGCATCAAGGAAACAGACCTATGTTAGAATATTTATGCATTATAGTATGCACTTTGAATATGTTAATTTAGGGATATTAAAATGCGCTATAATAATTCAACAGTACAAATAAATCTTGCATCTACATAACATTAATCTCATACACTCTCATGATTTATTACATTTAGTCACTTATTACATGTTGGTGGCATTATCTTATTCTGTTAAATTAATTTTTTTGATAGTTAGCCTTTTGAAGTTCTCTTTTACTAATCTGTACTCTTTCTGATCGTGTCTTTCCATTCACTTGCCGACTGAAGTTAACCATGTCTAATCGAAACCATGGATTCATGATACACTTTATATAGAAATATCGCTTTCTTGGAACTATTTTTGTATTATCGAAACTCATGTATTCCGACAACTATTACTATTCGAAGTATCCAACATTCTATTTCTTTTCGGTGTATTTCGTATTTGTGATCTACATCATACTGTCAGTCTATTACGTTACTTTAATCTAGGGTCCCATTGAGAATAAATTGATTTTATATTGAGTGACTGAAATAGACACAAGTATAAAGTATCATTAGAAAACCACACATATCCAGTTGGCATATAGATTTGTTCAATAATTTGGAATTAATCGAATGTTATATTTATCATTTTGATTTCTATTTTTGACAATATGCACTAACAATAAATAGCTAAATAAACATGTTATGAAGTAACGAACAGAAAAAAATAGGATGAGGGGATTGTGTGGCCTGATACAGTGAGGCGACAACAATACTAATACAGTATTATTTTAATTAAACGACGATAAACAGATGTGATTAATCACAAAACCTGGAAATATGTTTGTGTGCTTAGAATGTGTGAATAATATCCTTTTTTGTAATAACAATATTGGGAAAATAGTCCTTTAAGGACGACACATGCTGATGGAGAATGTGTTCTCTCATGCTTGTCACCTTCCAAGTGCAAAAGACGACATTAAGATTAGTTTCACTTGATGCTTAGTCTGAATGTAGGAAGTAGATCTGCGCGTGACATTGCTCACTTCACTTATTTTAAGTATATAATCAGACAATAGGCAGTTACTGCCTACCTTGACGCTAGTTGGAAGGAAGCTACCGATGGCGGGGCAAGTCAAGAATCGACATCAGCAAGTGAAGTCGTTGACCATCTATCTGAGCCATGTTATTAGGTACAGACTGTTTGTTTGGAGTCAGTGTGGTCGGAGAAGGACAACGTGACTCAGAATCGGTCAAAGTGGTGCAGATGAGTTCGCTTTTCGTCCTCACGTAGATCCCTGGTTTTAAAATCATTTTATCCATTTTATTCATTCTCTCTTAATTTTTTTCCTCTGAGACTAATCCTTGAATTGATCACTCATATCATTACAACCTCAGTTTTTTCTTATAAATAAAAATAATATATTTGTAATATCCCAATGAGTAGAAAATTGGATTTTCTACTCATTGGGATATTACAAATATATTATTTTTTATTTATAACAATCAACCCAATGCTCAATTTATTCGAAATTATCAAATCAAACCTTGGTAATGACATCAGTTTTTTCTTGTTAATTTGATCTTACTATACTGATCTAGTGTGGTAACTTGTCCGATACCCATTTGTTATGGCTGACTGAACTCACCTCACAAGTTTCCATATCAAATTTTCTGCTTGCCAACTGAACGGAAAATATATTGTGTTATATATTACTTTTCTTATACAGAACATATCCCATAGGGGTAAGGAATAATTTAGGCTTCAGGTATTCTGTCCTAGATATTCTAAGGAAGTAGTGCCCTTGTTTTGTGGGATCTCAAAATCAAGTAATAAGAAGGTTGAGGGTAGGTTACTAGATAAAGGTACTAAACTTTTCGATATATTTTTAAAACTTTGTCGGCTGAAATCGTCTGAAGATTTATTACGTTTGCCGGTTGGTTGGTTGCCTACTCAAACGAGGAATACTAGCTGGCATAATAAGTAATCAGAAAAAATCTAGGAATAATCAGACAAGACGGCACAAGCCACACTGAATGTTGTAGAAACTTCTGTTAGTGTTCAGGACTGTAGTTCGTGGTTGGATATGTCAAGTAATACGACAGAAACTCGGTCACATAAGCATATATTTATTACGCTTTTTAGTGTTTCAATTGAATAGAAATGTTTTCATACAAATCATTCATCAGAAATTAGCTGTCATTTAAAAAGTTATGCAATCTGCGTCAAATAATTTGCGTATATATGGAAACCTCGGTTAGACAACATTATATTCAATCAATTGTCAAACGGCACTTTCTCATGTAGTGGATGTTGAAGTGAATGATCACTTTAGTAACGTTAATTATTTTAATTCTTTGTCAGTAATCCTAAACGTCATAAAAAACTAACGATTCACTGAAAATCAGTACTCCAGCATTATTGTTCAGGCGTACCACATTACGTATGGAACAGATTAATATATTGTAGGCAGGTTACCGTCTAGACTCCTGCATACATTCATTTGTACTATAAGTAATTATAACTATTCGATTGTGGGAGTCATACATAAATATACAATATTATGTTACGAAACGTAAACTAATTAGGCTTATATAATTAGTTTTTCCAATCTTCTAGACATTATAAAAGAAACAATATGACATTTGATCGTAATTCGATAAAATTATATTTGGTACTTTCACATATGTACAACACAGATCAGCTGCCTGGTAATAAAGAAATGGTGAAATATATTACAATATTTTCCAACTTACTGATAACAAAGATATTATTCAACGACATTACTATTGTTCGATATGTACAGTTCTTTTTTGAATTCAACTTAAAATATCATAACGGTATATTCAATCTAGGAAACAAGTGTTGTAATTGGGACATAGATACTGAAAACTAGAAGTAAACATACATGCAGTACCCACTTATGATGAGATTCAATGACTTCTTTTTGAAAGCTAGATGTATATTTTCCCCAACTTTAATAACCACGTTCGTGAATGCATCGAGTTACATAGCATAGTGATTACAAGTTCAGTGACATTTCATCCAAAGCAACTCAACTAATTTGATCCAATTTCATTAGAATTTCCAGGACAGTTTTTTAAATATTCATTTACGTTCAGGCAGCTTACTAAGTGTCAAATCTTTATGGTACTTTGTCAATCAACGATAGTGACCTGCGATTAACTAAACGAATCAACTAGAAATCTTATTGTTTGTTAAACTTTAGGTCACCTGCTATCATGATACTACTCAGAGTAGATGAATTATATTACGGAAAATTATTC